CGGCAGCCTCATCTCCATCACCGTCGCCACATTCCCTCATCATTTTTGAATCTTCAATCACTGGCCTCTCTTCACCCGGAGGGAGGGGGACTCTCACGTCTGGCTGTCGAGGGGGGAGACCATACGCCTTCGGGTCAAATTGCTCTGGGGGGATGTTGAAATGTCGGGCCAACCGCCGGTATATCAAGCGTTGGGTGAAGAACTCACCCCTTTGATAATAACAGTCGCCTCTCTCGGCCAACCACATTTTACCAGGGCCCTCAACCCAGGCGTTGACCTTCTTCTCCACAACCGAGGAGACCCAATCATTCTTATCCTCGCCCATCCAGCCCTCGACGATGAATGCCTCAACGGCGGCCCTCTCAGCCTTGGCCACCTCCTCGGCCTTTTCCCTCTCGGCCTCCTCAGCAGCAACCCTGGCGGCTTCAGCAACGGCTTCCCCGACCTCGGTTATGCCCTCAGCCTTGGCAGCCTGCACCCGCTGCTCCATGCCCTCCGTTGTCACCCGAAGATTGTCTTCTGCCTCGGCCAGCTTCCTCTTGAGGCTAGCTATCTCCTCATCAGCGGCGGCCTTGTATTCCAGTATCTGATCCACCATCCAGATTTGCTCACAGAGGCCCATTAAGGTCTGCAGCAGCAAAAGCACGAAGGGTCAGGCATGTTACATACTTTACACGGTAAGAACGAATGAAGGTAAGAACAAAGAAGAAACTTACAGGGGCACTGTTCAGGTGGATTTTGAAGCTGAGGGCTTCATTGTCCAGCCGGGCGAGGGCCACCCTATCACCCGAAGGCATCACCTGGTTCATAAGCACCGAAGGGCATAAAGTAGCCTCCAGAATAGAGCTGCCCGTCGGTACAACAACCTCTAGCCTCTCCCGGCTGAAGAAATCTTCGTTCACAAACTCCTGAGGTAGGGGGTCGGAGCTTATCCGCTCGTCCACAATGATAACCTCATTGGAGGCAGGCTGCTTGCCGGGGTCGGCCGCCTTGTGCTTCTTCGTCGGGGGATCAGCCCCTTTTTCCGGCCTTTTTCTTCTTTGAGGCCACTATGGCCTGAGAGCCCCCGGCCTCACCAGCAGCAGCCGCGGAGGGCTCCTCAATGGGCTTCTGCTTGTTAGGCTCCTTCTGAGCCTTCACCTTCTGCTTTTTCAGCGCAAAGACGGACTTCACATCCATGTTATTGCCTCCAAAACAACAAGGATAAAAAGAACCGAGAGGTCAGATACAAGGACAAAAGAAAAACCGGTGCAAAAATTTATCTAAGTACAAAAATATAAGGCCTTCGGGAACCACCTCTAGTGCTCTCGAAGGCTCGATCAAGGAGGGGGTATTTCTCGTCCTTTTCCCCTAGAAAACGGTAGCGCCGGAAGCCCAAATCGTACAGGTCATCCGGAAGGGTTGAGTCCTTGATTGCCACATGCTTCGTGGACCTCTCCGAAAGAGCTGAAATCTTCCTTCCATCCTTCTCAAGGGCGACACTCTCCACCTTCGGATGGCACCTAAAGTGGTTCTGCAACTCCCCGGGAAACGGATTCACCGCCACCCTGTTGTAACAGAAACGGTCCTTCCGGCCCTTGTGGGACGAGGGCGCATGAGAAAAGAGCTTCCACTGGGCGATCTGTTGCAGATTCGCGAAGCCATCGGAATTAGCATGACCTCCCCGACAGAGGTTGAAACTCTGAAAGAAAAGGTCGAGGCTAGGAGTTACCCCCCGGGACCGGCAGAGATGCAGAAAGTCAGCAATGTATGAATGACTGTTTGGGGTAAGTTAGCAGGGGGCTAAGCCGACGTATCTAAGGTACTCGAGAAGGAAGGGATGTAGCGGAAACTAAAGGCCCAACGAGACGGAGAGGACATGGACCGAAAAGCACCCCTCAGGAGCCTGGGATAACAGATCATTGGGGCCCGATTCTATCATTGTGGCTGAGGGCCCAACATGGAGTTGAGTAACGTAGCACTCCGCCCGATCAGCCCTGGACCTTAGCACGAGGGCAGCAGTATTCAAAAATGAATGCCCATCGGTTATTCCAACGGGCTTCCCAAAGTCTGCCGCATTTTGCTTCTTCTGGGGGCCTTCACCTTCTTCTTGCTCTTCGCCGAGAGTGCAGCTCTGAGGGGTTCCGGGCTGAGGGCTCGTGAGGTCCCCTCTCCACTGGCGACGACCGAGGGAATAACGATAGTCACCTTTCGTCGTTCTATCTCCTCCTCTTTCTCGACCGTACTGACAGCAATAGCTAATTCCTCGTCCTCAATGACTTGCTCAAATTCTTCGACCTCGGTCTCGGCCACAAGGTCCTTTTGCACCTCTTGTGCTATAGCAGAATCATTGTTGGAAACGGCCTCAGAACTTTGTGGCCCTTCATCCGTCCAAGTCTTTGACTCAACTGAGGGCTCTCTAGAGATGTTTTGTGAATCGCTAGCAGACGACATCCTTCGGTGCTAAAGAGGAATGGAGGTGGAAGAAAGGAGAATGGTGATAAGGGACTAACACTAAATCTAAAGGAGGAGGAGCAAAATACGAATAAACGGCAAGAACGGAGGATGAACTGACCTTGCAAATGGGAGTTTGATCGAACAGGTACTTTCTCTCTCTATAAATTTTTGGCCAGAGCTTCGCTAACAACAAAACGCATAAAGGGGAATGGAATCCGGCCAAAGGGTATTTATAGGCTCCCCCAATCACAGTTAGGGCCTGGGTTTTGGCCTCGGGTTAAAAACCCATCATTACGAACCATCACCTCAGCCAACCGGTAACGTCCGCCTATAAAGAGCCAACCAGGCCACGCCACGTGGACACCCTCTCCAACGGTAATATCTCAACCGCTATTTTTGAAACACCGGAATACCCTCAGCTAGCACCCTTCAAACAACAACGGAGCATGCCCTCGATTTATCACGTTCAAAGATCCTCCTGCCGCATTTAGCCTTCATCATGGAGGTTGGGATAACCTCTCGGGAGCCCTCAGCCCTCGATGCATGGAGGCCTGGGGGATCTCCCTCGGCAATCACCGCCCTCAGATGAAAGACAGCCCTCAGGTTTTCGGGGCTACTCTCCACAGATTATGAATGGCACTCGGCCTCAGCAATATCTTTCATCTCAGACCGAAGGGTTCACCTTTTGACTTCATTTTGGGGGCATCCGGTGTACTCTTTTTCCCTCATTAGGATTTTTTCTCATAGGGTTTTTCGTAATGAGGTTTTTAGCGAGGCATCTCCCCAAAATGAAACAAAGGCGTCAGCCCTCGGCTCACTACTGAAGACAGGCATTACTCTACTCTTTCTCGCCCCATTACATGTGCCTCAAGGAGTGAGGGACTGCAGAACCCCTTCGGTAGATCACAAAAAGTTAGAAATTTTTCTCAAAACATCAACAAAAGCCTCCAGAAATGGGGGACTGACAGCTCCCCTCGGCAGCACCAGAATGCAAACAACCAATGGAAGGAAACATCCGCAACAAAGACGCCTTCGGCAAAACAACCACAATTACTCCTTTTCCCTCAAGTACCCTTCGACAAAAGGAGTGAGGGACTCCTGATGGAGTATATGGCCTGGGACCCCCGGCCCACAAACTCCTGCTACTCGTACACGGGTCCATCAAGCTCGATGAGCACACAACAACCAAACAAAGTGGCCCAAGCATGAAGAAGCCCACGTTGTACATTTGAATGCCTTCGGCTGTATGGCCGAAGGCTCCAAATTCTAGGATGCAACTTGATATGGATCTGCTAAGCTTCTGGGAATTTCTGGGCAAAATAATTAGCCTTCGGCTACTCCGTACCTAGGCCTTCAGCATGTAGCAGACTCGACGAAGATTACTTTTAGGGACAGACAACTAGCGCATTTAATGTGGCGTCACGTCCGACCACCACATTTAATGCGGTGCACATGCAAATGTCGGTGCCACCCCGATTAAGATGAACCTCGGCCGTCAGATGTTTGACATGTGTCCTTGTCTAGCATTTATGGCTAGGCCTGTCAATGGGTCGGGTCTAGACCCGGACCCGACTCGGATCCGGTTGTTTTTAATGGGTACAGGTATATTTTATTCCGTTTACCCGGACCCGGATCCGGACCCGTTAGTATTTTAAATAAACGGGTCGGGTATGATACATATGATTCCGACCCGTTAAAGACCCGGACCCGTTTAAAATTTCTTATTTGTATACACATACACTAATACATAAAGTGATTAGTTATAAAAATTTAAACAAAATAGAGACTAATATACATATATACATAACAATACATAAAATTATTAGTTGTGATTATTCATTAAAATATACACATTAATACATAACTACTATATAAGTGATACTGATCGAGATAGTAAGATACCCTAAAACTAATGTCCATTTTGGTCGTAAATACATACTGATAAAGTGTGTATTGGACTCGATAGGAAAAATACAATATGTATTACTATCATTATTAATATTATTATATCATTATCATGTACTCGTATAATACTACATATGATTTTATACTCTTAGTAGTTCAAGAGATCTTTTTATGACTTCATTTCTAGTTTATTCTACAAGCTTTTGTGCGAGAGAAAGCGACGCAGAGTGTGGAGCTGTATGTCTGTACAAGAACCGATACTTTATTAGATAAAAGTACTAATTTTAAATAAGAGACCTTGATTTTTTTTTTTGAAAAGTGAAGATATATTTCGTTTTTAAATTTGTACACTTTGCTTTATATTTCACATACATGTCTTGTTATTTTCACAAAGTTTATAATGGTGTGCGTATCATACTTGGCGGGCGGGTCTACCCGACCCGATTCCGAGACCCATTGGGTCTGAGTCTGGGTCCAAATTTCCAAACCCACCGAGTAAACGGGTCAGATCCGAGTCCATTATTAACTTAGCGGGTCCGAGTCTGGAACACTACGTTCCGACCCAGACTCGACCCATTGACAGGTCTATTTATGACTACTATAAATAGCAACTCCTTTCCATTGTAATCGACAAACATTCATACTTGAATACACATTCTCTCTTACTTATTATTTTGGCTTCTCTCTATGTTATTCCCCGAAATAACCTCTCAGATAATCTATCCGGGATACACTACTCATCGATACTAATGGTACAAGAGTACAAGACAAAGGATGGTAGATTCAGTAGATGATGATTATGATAATCTTGAAACACATACCAGTACAAAATGCAACAAATTCATACTCCGTATATCTCGTGTGTGATGTGTATATGTATAAGTGTATACGGAGTATTACATATATTTACATTATTTAATAATTCATGCTAAAATAAAAGATTGAAGAGGTTTTGCAGAACCATCTCCAACTGTCTAAATTCTTCATTTTTTGTTCATAGAGAGATTGTTCTTCCCAAAGGCTTTTTCAAACTATCTTGCTTAAACTTTAATTATTCCACTATAAAAATTATATAAACTTGGTGACAATGGCATAGGCGACAATTGCGGAATCTCAAATATACCCTTCGGTTCTCCACAATCCCACACCGCCATCCAACTTGACGGCGTTAATGGACCCGCCGCTGCTGCGGCTGCGGCGGGGGCTTGACCTCCCTCGGCCGTCTTATTAGCTGATTCTTCCACCACTTCTCTTTTTACCTCCTTAAACACCGATATATCCTCCCCGGCGTGAGATTCTCTCTCCCTTTTCCGGCCAGAGTCCAACGCCAGCGGCTGGGAGTTCTTCCCCGGCCGAAAATTCTCAACTTCAAGAGGGAAGTTAAGTATAGCTTTGCTGCCCCTCAGGTTGAAGGCCGCCCGGTCATAAGCCATCGCGGCGCCTACGGCGGTGTCGAAGGTTCCAAGCCAAATCCGGGTCCCTTTCCGGTTCGGGTCGCGGATCTCCGCCGCGAACTTCCCCCAGGGACGCATCCTCACGCCCCTGAAGTGCTTCTTGATTTCGCCGGATTCTTGAACCTCCGCCGCTTGCTTTACCTTCCCCTCCACCAATTTCTTCGCCGGAGATCTGGGAATCTCGATATTCAAACTGGGTTTCCTCTCACAGAACCTCTTATTAGTGGGGCTGGAGACGACCTGCGGCTCCGATTGAAATCGGAATTCTGGGTAATGTTCAAGAAACATAGAGTCGTTCAGAAGGTGGTGCCTGATGAGGTCAAGAGCAGAGTTTTCATCTGGGGAGGCCATTTGAGATTCACTTTCTGTAGTGAAAGGTTGAGTTGAAGGGAATGAAAAAGAGAAGAAAGGATGGAGAAAGTAGTGAGAAGAAGGGCGGGGAGTGGGGTGGGATTATAAAGAGGTGCACAGCAATGGTTGAAAATTTTGAAAGGATGGTTCACACGGGCTTCCCACCGGTTGCAAGGAAGCAACCTTCATTTTTACTCTTTCCTCCTCGAATTGAATTATACACTTTGACTATTACTCCCTCCGTTCCTAATCTTTCTCCCTTTTCGGCTGGGCACATTTATTAAGATAGTGGGATTTGTGTGGTGGAGAGTTGTGCAGAGGAGAGAGAAATGTGTAAGAATGATTGTGAACCACAAATTTTTTGCTAAAAGGGGGAAGAGGAGATAATTTTGGGACAGACGAAAAAGGAAAGTTTGAAGATAATTTAGGGACGGAGGGAGTATAAGAATTAAGCAATGAGGAAGTTTGTTTTTTACCCATTTATCCATCTTTCTAAAAGTAATGAGAAAAAAAATAAAAATAAGGGTAGATTCATCACTTTATTATGATTTACATACCTAAAATAGAGAGTAGAAAATCATTTTGAAACACCAAAATAGCAAATTTTGTAAATCAAATTGGGACGGATGGAGTAATAAAAAAGAAAGTTCGATATACTTTACTCATTACAAAGAATGAACCAACTACGGAGTAGATAATACTACATTTATCCCATTAAGGTTGTTTTTACTTGGACTGTAATTTATCCAAGACCAGATAAGACCAAAATAGACCAGATCAGACTAAAACAGATCAGACCAGAATAGATCATATTTTATTTTTATTATTATTATTATTATTAGTAATATTATTATTGTTGTTATTACTAGTAGTAGTATTATTACTATTATTATTACTATTATTATTATTACTGTTTTTGTTGTTACTATTGTTATTATTACTAGTAGTATTATTACTATTATTACTATTATTATTAGTAGTAGTGGTGGTGGTGGTAGTAGTAGTAGTGTTATTGTTGTTATTATTAGTACACTTACTATTTTATTATTGTTTGGTTTAGTTTGTTTGTATTTTAAGTCATACAAGTGACACTTCCTGGAGTTGTTGCGGTTCATCTGCGGCAAGTCTTCTACGACGATGGGCAACGAGTACTTCGAATACTTCGTATTTCGTAAGCTTATAAAGGAGTAGATTTGTTGGGGCTTTGGAGTTTGGGCTTTATTGTTAATCAATAACTAAATTAGTTTCCTAAAATTAAAGCCTAATTCTACGAAGTATTTATGGATTATAATATATATAAAAAATAAAATCTTTATGCAAAAAAGTACAAAAAATAAAATTTCAGACCAGATTAGACCAGACCAAAACAGACCAGATCAAACCACCAAATTACAGTCCAAGTAAAAACATTCTAACAATGAAACATGAGAATGTAATGATATTATTAAGAAAATTGAGTTTGATATTGAATTGATATACTCATATACTCCATAATAAGAATAAAATAAAAAAAGATTTAGAACCACATAAATTTTACTAAATTTGGTATTAGAATATCTTAATATGACGGACCAAAAAAGAAAGGGAGAATTATCAAATAAGCTCTCAAACTTTTATAAAAGATGCAAATAAGCCTTTTTATAGGAGGCTTTGTCCGACCGTCATCATTCGGAGCGGTTTCCGGTGGAATTTTTTGATGACATTTTTTGAGCATCTTCTTCATTAAGTCTAGTTCACTCATACCAAAGTTCAGATAAAAATTCAATCGGGAAGGCAGTCAAATGAATTTTTGAAGATAACTGCGCAGTTAGACAGAGCAGTATATTTCAGAAAATCATTTAACTGCCTTCTTGATTGAATTTTTAGCTGAAATTTGGTACGAGTAAACTAGACTCAATGAAGAAGATACTCAAAAAAATTCATCAAAATCTTACACCGGAAAATGCCCCAAATGGCGACAGCCGGACAAAGTCTCATGTAAAAGGGCTTATTTGCACTTTTTATGAAAGTTCGTGGGCTTATTTGATAGTTCTCCCAAAAAGAAAGATAGACAACCTCGGAGGAAAGAAGTAATTCATAAATATAAACTAGATTTCATTTTCATTTCAGTGCCGCAAAGGCTCTCACCTACGGTGTGATAAGGGGGGTCGGATGTAGGCAGTCTTACCTTTGTACTAAAGCACAGAGAGATTGTTTCCGGATGACCCATAGTGAAAATCACATCCAAAATTGTATGGACTAATTGTCGCTGCTCCATATATAACAAAGAGGCGCATACAGTTTAGTGAACCATTTTTCTTTATTCCATCATAATCTCAAGCCAAAAATAATGAATCTTTGACTCCATCATAAACTAGATTTGATTTTGAAAAAGTTGAATTACAATGCACAGAGAGGAGCGACGATGGGGAAATCCTAGCCGCCCCCTCCTCTTCTTTTCTTCTTTTCTTCTATTCTTTATTTACTCTAATTATTAAAAATGTTTTGCTTAATCGATGTTTTCAATTATATACATGCATTTCTTTTCTAACATTGTCTAGTAATGTTATTTGTGGTAATAGAGTGTCGTTTGCCAAATGTATAGTCTTTGTCATCATCCTCTGGATGTTTTTGTGTGCTGGTAATAGGTTTGTAGTCGCTTCTTCATCAATCATGAATCTAGATTTCTTCTGTATCAATATTGAGATCAATCGTCCCCTTCTAAACTATGTTTTGAAAGTCAATACTAGTAATAAATATAATTACATGGATACACCATATGGTTCTTTAATTAATTAAGAGAAACATAAATTTCTATGTTCCATCCTTCCGTAAACATAAATAAAGAAAATTACAATTTATGATCAATACAAGTGAGCAATCTTTTTTTTTGGAGGATAAGTGAGCAATCTTTAGCACTAACTTTTAGTATACCTGGTATAAACAATTGAGGGCCAGAGACTCACTCTCTATAAGTATATATGAGGGTCAGAGACTCACTCTCTATCTGTAAGATTGTGATTAAGATCCGACTAACATCTGGTCACATTATCACCTGGTCCGTTTTGTTTTGTCGTGGAGTCGACCACATTACCGTATCGTTTCCTTGCTTATTTCAAAACATTATCCTTTTAATTAAAAAGTGTTTTAAATAATACTCGTAGTAAAAAACTGGCGGTAATGTATCATTTTTTGAAGAAATATATGGAGTATCATTTCTTTTGAGTTTGGACAAAAGCCAATTCATATACGCAGTGGAGGACCTAGGGGGCTAGGTGGGACACTACCTAGCCCCCTGTCGCTTCATACCAATATTTCGGATCCGGAATTTCACTAGTAGTACTTAAGTTAAAAAGCAGTGTTGTCGCTTCATACCAATATTTGATAATTATGATACTAAAATTTTACAGTTATATAAATAAAAATAAAAATAAAATATTTAAATTTTAGCTCAACTAAAATAAAAGATATAGAATTATCAAAAAATAATAATTAAGGTTTGAAAACAAAAAGTAACAAAAAAATAAAAATGCAAAAAAGTAGTCAAATGTGCAGGCAGCTAAAACTATTAAAAGTCTAAAAACAAAATCACTAACATTTGGAAGACTAGAATGAAAAAAGCGGAAGTTCTCCAAAAACAAAAGCAGACGATCGATTTACAAAATACGAGTTTCAGAATACGAAAACTCATAGGCTTGATTTACCAAAGTTGTAATAGTGAACTATTTAATACTACCTCCGTCCCCAAAAATTTTGTCATTTTCAAAATTTTGACCAGCTATATCTTTTTATTGAAAGTTATTTATAATATAAAAATTATATGAAAATGTTCTTTGTTAAAAGTACTCTCAAAATCAATGTTCAAATTTTTTGAAATGACAATTTTTTTTGGGACGGAGGTAGTATGTAATTAACTATTCCGTATAATTTAATACATTTTTAAACCATATTTATTACACCTGAAGATTTTATTAAAGATTAATTTTAGTATCTAGTGTGCCCCACTCTCGCAAATTTCGCCGCGGCATATAGGGTATACGGAGTATTATGGGATTGTTCTATTCGATCACTTTGCAATAGTGTTCTTATTTTATAGGTATACAATAACAAAAATTATGTTTGTACACACTCTTATACACACTTTTGTACACACCTATATTTGTGAAAGGTTTTTTTTTGTCTGTGAACATCGATTCACAGACAATGTTTTGCACAAACAAAATATTGTCTGTGAATCGGATTCACAGACAAAAAAAAAAGCTTCACAAACATGATGTGTATAAGGTGTGTACATGAGTGTGTACATCAAGAATGGTTGATACAATAATCATTTCCTCTCACTGTCAAAACATAAGTGTGGTACAAGCTAGCTGTATGAGGGATAACACATCTAATATATGGTCATGAGCTACAAAAATAAATGTCGTTAGAAGAAATTAAATTAAGAAACTTTAACTTATTGTTGTTATGGTTATTACTCCCTCCTCCGTATCTATTTATTACTCATTTTAGATTAAATAAAAAGTAATAAGTTTTGGTACTGTAGCGGTACTGTATCGGCTTTTTGAATGAGTTTATTTACAAAAAGGAAAATGAGACAATTAATTTGATACGTCTCAAAAAGGATAGTGAAACAAGTAAATAGATACGGAGGGAGTGTGTATTTTACCACTATCTTCCCTTTAAAAAGAATTAATTATTATAGGGAATATACTTTTTTACATGATTTGAAAGTGATAATAAAAGAATAATGAACCAACATTTTCCACAGGCCGGATAGACCCAGAGAAATAAATTCCACAAATCGTCAAAATAACCGCAAATCGTCAAAATAATCGCAAATCGTCAAAATAATAGGTCGCCTAGGCGTTAGGCGTCCCTCAACCGTCCGACTGACGCCTAGCGAGTTTTAGAACAATGAATACTATTCAAAATTACTCTAAATAGAAGTAAAATATAGACACAATGTTTAAATAGTAGTTATGTTTTGATCAGGAAGGATTTACGCAATGGTAAGATGAAGTCCAGAGTAATGCAAATTTGTTTCAATCCTATATGTATAATTTTTTCTTTTTTCATATTTAACTCACTCCACTACTGTTTAGGTCTAATATAATTAATCTTCAACT